CTTTTAATTTGATCATGAAATTGGATTTTACTTCAATCATCATATCTAATCTTTCAACTAAACATGTGATTTGACAATTGTAAGTGCCCGGTGCAACCCAATGAGTACAAACAAATTCACAATGATGCACAAAGATATATCAAATTTAAGCACAATAAAGAAAACTTAATTAAAGAGAAAGGATAAGAAATGCAAACCAAATATCAAACCAATAGCCTCTTCAATTGATGGCGATGCTAACCAATATGTACAAGTGAAGGCTCACTCCTTCCTCACCCCAAACACACTTTGGTTGAGCCAAGGAGTTATACAACTATTCTAGTTAACCCTCAACAACCTACACTTGAAAGATCACTCACCCAATTAAGAACTATTTTATACAAATGAGGCAACCTTCACCAAGGTTTTACCACTTCAAGTGATAGGTTCACCTTCACCAAGGTTTTACTTCTCCTAGAGAGAAACCTTCACTTGAGCAACCTCACAACCCAACTTCCCCAACCCCTTATACAACCAACAAAGAATCTTTCTACTCAAAAATCTCACTTGTAAGCTTGTATTTTGTGTTGGCAAAAGTCTCTGTCTTCTTGTGCTTTGGGGTTTTTATAGAAGGTGAGAAATGGCTCCAAAAGGCTCTCCAACGGTCAAATATTAAATGCTGTCAAAACTAGCCGTTGGCCTGTCGGACGTCCGACAGGTGCCTGTCGACGTCCGAACCACCTGTCGGACGTCCGAACCCTGCGTCCGAACGTAGGCAGAGAGTCATCAAATCTTTGCGAAATTTCTCGGACGTCCGATGCGATCGATGTGCGTCCGAGGCGTGCGTCCGATCCTTCCGGACGTCCGATGCTTCCTCACGAGCGTCCGACAGAGTTTCTTTCTTGATGTTCTTCATCCTTTCGGACGTCCGATAGTTTCCTTTTGGCCGTCCGACATGAGTGACCTGATTTTGCTTCTTCATTTGGTTGGTTTTCTTTCCTTGACACCATTGAACCTGATTCTAACAAATTTCTCACATAAAAACATTAGACCAAATCTACATTTTGGTTTGTTAATCATCAAAACCAAGGATTGATCGACCAAGGTCAACAACAATTCCAAAGAGAAAAAAAGGAGAAATAGAAATATATAATAGAGTTTGAGGGATCACTTATGGTGCGATTGGCTGCAATTATAGGTAATAGATTGTGGTAATTTGAGATCGAATTATAGGAGAAAGGGGTTGATGGATGAAAATAAAGTGATAGTAAGTGAGAGAGAATCATTGTTGGCTGTAACTTGTAAATAGAATAGCTGAAAAGGTCAGGTTTCTCTTTGTTTTTTTTTTTAATCTCATTTCATTATACTATGGATTATTTATTAATTATTTATTAAGTGAAGGTCATTATAGTCATTTTATTATGACAAAAGAGGTTAGTATAATTTGTAATAATTGAGAGGAGCCGAAAGAAATTGTCATAAACCTCAGGGGAGGTTTGTGAAATTATCCCATTTAATTAAGAAGGCAAACATAAGGAAATTGAGGCATGAGAAAACCATTTTGCTTTGCGTCTTTAAGGACAAACATTTTGCTATGTGATATTTGTAATATAAAAGGTGATGGAAAAGACAAAAAATTATATTTGTAATACAAGCAAATAATTTTTTGACAAATAATTCCTATCCATTATCTCAAAAGACAAATTACTAATTTTTGCTATAGCTAATGGAAGTTGGGAGAGAGAATCAAATCAAATCAAATGAGCTATTTAATTGAAATGTTAATCACACTTTATCCCTCCACCTTTTGGGATAGTCACACTTTACCATCTTTATCTCTAAAAATACATACTTTTATTCCTCATGAAAATTAGTCAACCTTAAATACCCTAACTTCGTTAAAAAAAAGTGTGTTGTGATAATATTGCTCCTTTGTTGCTGAAATTATCTATAATTTACTATTTTCGTTCTTTTATTTGCCCAAAAAATGAGTTTGTTTTAATCTCTATTCTCCACTTCAAGTTTAAAAATAAGGTATAGCAACCTTTTTTAGTAAATTTGGTTAATTATTTAATAGTTGATTAATTTAACAAATAAAAAATGATAACAATATTATTATAATAGTTTACATAAGCTAAAGCAAAAAAAAAATTTAAAATAACATGCTTGATATTTCCTTTTATTTTCAAAATTTTGCCAACTATATTTATTGTTATTACTATGTTATTTATCCTTGTTATTTGATTTAAAGTCTAATAAATTGAAAAAAGGTGTATATATATATATATATATATATATATATATATATATATATATATAGAAGAATGAATAGTAATCCAACAAGAATAAGCAAACATTTTAAGAATAATAAATTAAATGTAAACTTTTTTCTTCTCTTATCAATTGGATATTTTTGTATAGTAGACATGATGGAGAAGATCAATATCTTTTAGCAAGAAAAAAAGACTAGTAATTTATAACTAATTTTATAAATAAAAGGGCAACAATTCACTTTTTTTTGTGGGAATTAGATTTCTTACCTTGACTAATTTTAATGTGGGTGTAAAAATAACTTTTAAGGTTAAGGGTGATAAAGTGTGACTACCCCAAAGTTCAGGGAGACAAAGTGTAATTAACCCTTAATTGAATAGCCAAAGGTAGACGATTGCCAGCTGCGAGCACGACCCAGAAAAAATGGAAACGGCGAGAAAATGATATTGCGGTCACATACATGTCACTTCCGGTACACCTTGGCAAACTCGGCGAAAGTGGCCAATCATCGCTTTTCAGGCGCCGTAACAACCCATAATGACCATATCCAAGGCCCAGTAAATTCTTTCCACTCCTGTGATTTTCAAGACTTCACAACTCACCCAGGAAACAACCAATTGAACTGTTTTACAGATTTAAACCTCTTAGCTGAGTTTCATCAGCATGGGTTTTTACACAGACCCCATATTGTCAACAGAATCATTTCCACTTGCTCAAAATTTGGCTCATATTCTGTTGGGATTCAAATGCATACCCATGTTATTAAAATGGGATTTGGTTCAAATATCTATATCTCAAGCGCCTTGGTTGATATGTATTGCAAATGTGGTACCGTTGTGTCGGCTCACCATTTGTTTGATGAAATACCGGAGAGAAATGCTGTGACTTGGAATTCTTTAATTTCTGGTTACCTAGAAACCCTTTGTCCTGGAACAGCAATGTACTTATTCACAGAAATGCTAAGATTCGGGATATTTCTGACGCCATATAGCATTTCGGCAGCTCTTGTGGGTTGTGCCCAGCTTGAAGATTGCTGGCTTGGGGCTCAAGTCCATGCTCTGGGTTTAAAATTTGGTTTTGAGTTTAATGTTGTTGTGGGGACTGGTTTAATTGATATGTACGCCAAATGTTTGGATATTGAAGCCTCAAGAAGTGTGTTTGATAGAATGGTTTGTAAGAATGTTCTCAGTTGGACATCAATGATAACTGGTTATGCACAGAATAAGCTCTCCTTGGAGGCAATGACTTTGTTTCGGGATATGTTGCGGGTTGGAATTGAGGCAAATTATGTGACATATAACAGTTTATTGAGGTCGTTTTGTTGTCCTGATGACCTAGACCATTGCAGGGAAATCCATTGTCGTATAGTTCAGGAAGGTTTTGAGTCTAATATTTTTGTGTCAGTTACACTGGTGACTGTATATTCAGAGTGTAGTTGTAGCTTAGAGGAATTCTATCGAGTTTGTTCAACTATTACCCTTTGGGACCAAATCTCATGGAATGCAGTCATTGCCGGTTTTTCCAATTTAGGAAGTGGTGAGGAAGCACTAACCTGCTTCTCAAAGATGAGGCAGGCAGGCATCAGTGTTGATATTTTCACGTATGCAAGTGTGTTGAAATCAATTGGTATTATTTCAGCTCTTGAAGTGGGGAAGCAGATCCATAGTCTGGTTACCAAGGGAGGGCATGCTTCAAATATCTGTGTGCGGAATGGGCTTGTTTCCATGTTTGCAAGATGCGGTAATCTTAGTTATGCAAAGAAAGTATTCACGTTGATGGATGAACATGATGTCATATCATGGAATTCACTGTTGTCGGGCTATTCCCATCATGGATATGCCGAGGAAGCTATTAGAATGTTCGAAGAGATGATGACCACTGGGGTTAAACCAAATCTAACAACATTCCTCATAGTGCTTTCTGCTTGCAGCCATTGTGGCCGGGTGGATAAAGGACTCGAGTATTTTCAGTTGATGAAAGACGATGATAGCCTTCCACCACCCAATTTAGAGCACTATGCTAGCATTGTTGATCTGTATGGTCGGGCTGGTCATCTTCAGGAAGCCGAGGCATTCATTGATAACATGCCAATACAGCCAGGACCCTCGATGTTCAAAAGTTTACTGGGTGCTTGTCAAGTTCACGGTGACAAAGAAATTGCAGTACGATCTGCAAGAAGGCTTGTGGAGCTTTGTCCAAGTGATCCTGCAACTTATGTTGTGCTATCAAATATCTTGGCCTGTGAAGGTAGTTGGAATGATGCAGCTGGTATCCGCAAGATAATGTGTGATAGACAAGTGAGGAAAAACCCTGGATATAGTTGGATTTGATTCCAAAGAGCAACTAAGTTTAAGCCATGACATTAGGGGTGGGAGATCTGTACATCAAGATATGAAATCCTAACAGGTAACTTCGCGTGATTATGCCCAGGAAACATTCTTGCATTTAATTTAGGCAAACTAATGGACAGTGTTGTGAAGTTAGTCTTGGAGGACCATCTTGAGGAATGAGGAGAATAGTTGTAGTAACAGCAATCGGGGAACTTTTGGCTCGACAGATGTTTTTTAACCCAATATTTTTCCTAACCGCCTGTCGTATTATGATTTTGGAGTTGGACTCTCACTAGCCGGAAACAAGAATCAGCCAATTTCATTCTTTGCATTAAAGTTTTAATTTCGTATTCTTTTTCGGTTTAGAAGTACCATCAAAAGGTCCCGGCAAATGCATCGCCTAGGTTCGGTGCTTTGCATTCTGAATACATAATACACGGAAAAGTACTTGATACTTGCTACAGAAGTCGAAGCCCAAAATAAAAATAGCCTGTTGCAAGAGCTTGTTGCCACTTGGAGAGCTAGGAGCCCTCGTACTCTAACGTCCAAAGTGGATGGTTAGATGATCTGTGGTTTGTGTCGTTTACGGTTCTGTAATCCACAAGGAACCCGAAAGCCATGCATTTACCAACGCTGTCTGCGCTTAAATTTTCCCCTCAGTTTAAACTTTCACAGAACCGGTGAAGAGGAGACCATAGGGTGTGGTGGATAACAAGAATACGGAGGCGAAGCATTAGAAACCAGTGAAGAAGAGGACAACAAATTATGATGGATGACAAGAATATAAATTGGATTGAAAAAGCATCATAAGACGATTATAATGGGTAACAAGAATAGTTAGGAGAAACCATCAGAAGAAGACGACAGCACACTCAGAAAGTTTACATTCTTGCACGATGGCCCAACTTGAAGTCAGCAGAAAATATGCCGAGACCCCAACCCCGAAAACTCCTAAAGCTCAATCCCTCACCTTTGAGCAACTCCTTCAAGGTAAATCCAAACATGAAATTCACCAAGCAATGAATTTTTTTTGTTTGGCACTTTTCTTCTTTGAATTTTTTTTAATGACACTTTGTGCGCTAAATTTTTAAACCATGCACGGTTTTCACGCTGGATTTTGCTTGTCAGATGATGAAGCTTCATGGCAACATAGTACCTCACCGACTCTTGCAAGGAACCACTACCACGATGAAGATTTGAGTCCCCATAATAATAAGAAATCAGTTTTGACTAAAGTCAAGGAGAGAGCTAGGAAATTGCGCCAGTCATTCAGCGGAAAGAAGAAGCATGACGATGAGAATCATGAAACCCCGGACGGCAACACTACACCGCCTTGGGGTGTTAGTTTGGACGACTCCTATGATGATGAAGAAGATGAAGATGCTGAGTATCTTGGAGCTCCAAGTATCCTCTATCTATGGCCCTTCATGATATACTTATTCTTTGTTCAGACGTTTAATCTAAATATAAAACATTATAAATGCACTATAATATACGTTTGTCCTGATTTTGGCTTCATTTCATTAAGAATATTTCTACCTGCATTTTCAGTGTATGAATCAGAGCTAGCACCTGAAATTTATAGAGAAACTGCAAGGCAACATCCAAGAGCAGATCCAGTTGTTTCTGAGAAGCACCTTTTCCCAACCAGCATCAAACACGAAGATGGAGATGAAGGGAAAGATAAGGCTGCTGCTGTAAGCAAGACCATCACTGAAACCGTGTCTGAGAAACTCGCACCAGCATATGCTAAGGTCAGCGATGCCACTCAATTAATTGCTTCCAAGATTGCAGGGTTGACTATTTCAAGCCCTGAGGACCAAGAGAAACATGCAAATCCGGATACGGAGCATCTTCCTGCTGACGATGTCAAGAATATTGACAGGAGCTCCGAGATTAGAGAACATCTGGGTAATTGGAGCCCACAAAAGTGGGACAAAGGTGTTTCTGTGAAGGAGTATTTCATGAACAAGATCGAGCCTGGAGAAGATGACAGAGCACTTTCTCAGGCCATATCTGAGGCAATAAGTCCAAGAAAGAGTCCTCGTGATATGGGCATGGTGGAAAAAGTGCGAGAAGCTGTAACTTCATTTCTTCGACATGATGAACACCCTCACTCTGCTTCAAAAGGCTCTGTTGCAGAACCCTCCACGGAGAAAATCAAGGGAACAAATTTTTCTCAAAACGTTCCCGTTTCTACTACCAAAACAGAAGCTTCACCTCCACAGCCAAACCTCAAGTCTCTTGGTGAGAGCACTGTGGAAAAACTCCACAGGGACCCAAGCAAGGCAACAAGTTTGTCATCTAATAATCCGGTTTCCCCACCAAATTCCCTCTCTTCAGTCAATGTAAATTCGTCTCCGGTCACCATGTCCCCCAGGGCAATCTCTAGGGAAGAACCATCCAAGGAGACAATTAAACCGGCGAATTTGTCATTAAATCTTCCCAATTCTACCAAGAAAGGGGTTCCACCACCAAATTCCAACTCTTCTACCAGTGCACACACGCCTTCACATGCCCCCATCTCCCCAGGTGCAAATTTTATGGAACAACCCAGGAACGAGAGAGCAAAGGCAGCAAACTTGTCGCCACAAGTTCCCCTTTTTATCAGGACCGAAGTTCCACCACTCAATTCTATCTCTTCTACCAATGCAAGTTCATTGTCACATGTTTCCAGCCCCCGTGGCGCAAGTTCTAAAGGAAAACCATCCAGGGAGACGATGAAAGCGGAATATTTGATATCACACAATCCCCTATGGATCAAAACAGAAGTTCCATCACCAACTTCCACCTCTTCTGCCAATGTAAATCCGTCGTCATACTTCCCCCTCTTCCGCAGCACAAGCTTAACGCCTCAGGTCCCTGTCTTCCACAGCGCAAGTTCATCTCCCCTCGTTCCAGTCTCTACTAATGCCCAAGAAGGTTAGCTCCTGTTTTATGAATTAGGAACTTTAGTTGAATGATAATAGTTATACAGCCAGAATACTTGCCTGGCTTCCGTAATTTGCTGAATGCCCAAAAAGTTATCCTCAAACTATATGAACAAAAGCCAGGGTCCTAATCCTGGCAGGCTGTCAGTCACTAAATCGATGCTGCAAAACTTCCGGAATCCTTAGGATTTATTTTTCTCTTTATTTCGTTTACTCAAATTCATTTTGATCTCCGATGAAATTTTGGTTGCAGATCTTGAGGAGCAAACTCATGGAAGAATACTTCAAGCCAACTGAAGACCAACTCTTGGTCAGGTGCAAATTGATTACCAGCTATTTCCTGAATCTCCTTTAGTGGGACCTTGTGCAATCATAAGCTGGTCAACCAGAAATAAGTTGCTTTTACAGCACCATTAGTAGGAATTTTGTACCCATTAGTACTGATGGATCTGCCATTTTAGTCCGAAATTAGTTACATTATTGGTCACTGCAGATGTGTCTGCATTCTTAATTAGGTCTGTAGGCCAAGTTGTTTAGACAAATAGACAACAAGAGGACTTCAGCCGATGTGGGTTCTTTGTTGTGATAATTGCATCTGTGCTGTATAATCATCCTTTGAAGTGAATGATTTCATCTTAAAGTGACACAGAATCGAATTACTATTCATTGCCTAAATAAAAAGCATAAGATTGTCGGGGAAGAACCTTGCATCCTAATATAAATTGAATTGAATTAAGGCCCAGGTGGATATTTGTGTAGACTCCTTTTCTTTGATTTTTGGCAAGTAATAAGGAGTAGTATTCTACCCATGGATGAGATCTTGATCAGTTTGTAAGGTAAACCAGAAGATTTTGAGATATTACGGAGGGAGGGTTGGTCAGATGGTCCTTAAAAATTTTTGATGGTCTCTCAGTTAAGTCCTTAGAAATCAAAATGAAAGGTTTGAACAATACCTCGTATCATGGCATTTAAATAAGTACATCTCATTTCCAAGTCTTCACTGCAAGGTTGTCACACAATATCTACAAATCAGAGAACTGTTAGGTTACTAGAATCTAGTAATCACAGATCCTGACGCATTAAGCCTTCACTTTAAAATTTTGGACTCGATTTCTTCCAAGCTCAAGCCTTTGGTCTCAGGGACATACACCACCGCAAACACAAGCGACAATAGAGCAATTGCACCGAACAGAAGAAAAAGATTAGCAGCCCCAAGCAACTCCTGCAGAAATAGATAATGACAGAATGGATCAGTCAAAGAGAGAACCGGAAACATGAATCATGAATCCAAGCTTTGAGAGTAACAAGTTTCTGGGAAGAGTTTAAGTCACCTTCAGTGGAGAGAAAGCAAAAGTTACTATTGCGTTTGAACCGAAATTCGTAAGAACTGCGAGACTGATCCCCTTTCCTCTAGTTCGTAGAGGGAAAATCTCAGACACCATAAGCCAGCTTATAGGCCCAAACGATACCTGATATAAATACAAATATGGAACAATTAGCAAAGCTGACCACTAGCTAAAAGAAAGTTTCAACCGCAACTGATAAATCCCATATTTCTTGTAAATATTTAATGCATCCCAAAGATAAGTCAAATCATCTTTTTTTTCTTTTTTTTTTTTGTGTTTTTGGGAGGAGAGAGAAGGGAGGTATTTTACCTGATAGCTACCAACATATAGAAGTAGAGCTGCCACAGCAACCAAAGGATAACCTCCAAGAAATTCGTAATAAGCCCAAAGAAGCAGCAAAGACAAGGCCTATGAACAAAAAGAAAGTTAAATTGTACCTACATATGACTTGAAAAGTAAAAAAAAACTGTAGGGCTTATTAAAGCTTACGATGCCACCAACACCTCCAATCAGTAATGGCCTACGCCCAAGATCATCAACTTTTAGAACAGCAATTCCTGTCATCACCAACTTCAGAACAGTACCAAATGAAAGTCAATTATAAGCTTCCCTCAAACAGAAAAGATTCAAGAAATTTCTTCAGTCACCTGATCAGACACACCTTAAACGTGCCAATTACAACTGAAAGACGCGTAGCATCAGAAGCAGCAGCAAATCCAGCAGTCTTGAGACAAAAATTCATATTATTATAAGGTCAAGTGAAAACAGCAGCAAATGAATGGATAAATAATAACAGGGTGAAAAAGCAAACCACCTGAAGAATTGGACCAGCATAATACAGAACACTTGGCTGCCCAGTTATCTGTAATAACAATTTGGTAAACTTGCTGTTAGGATAACCTTTTATTTAACCCCAATGAATATAGAAAAGAAAAAGAATAAAGATAATATCATGCAGAGAACAAATTGAAAGAAGATTTTCATCACCTGTTGAAAAAGGACCAGGCCTCCACCAATTATAAATGCTTTCAGACTTGGACCCTGAAACACCTCCAGCAAACTCCCTTCAGATTGTTGATCAGCATAAGCAGTTTTCAATGAGGTAAGGGTTTCCTCTATCTGCTTTTCAGACACTTTATCGCCTGCAGCTCGGCCTCTTAGTCTGCTCAAAGCATGTTTTGCCTTTTCTTTCAACTCTTGTAAGGGCCCTTTACCTTGAACTGCCCTGAGAAGTAACCACCGGGGAGATGGTGGAAGAGACAGCATGCCTATCCCCATAAGCAATGCAATAGGAGCACTTAGTCCATACATGTAACGCCACCCTCCAACGACATCAATTTCATAGCTCCCAACAAAGTAACCCAGCTGCAGAAAGAGCAATTATTAACACCCCCATGTTCTTTTCAAAACAAAAATGGATGTGAGCTTCAAAATGGCAAATTTACCAAAATTCCCAGAACTATGAACAGCTCTTTCAAAGATATCAAAGTTCCCCGAATTTGTGCTGGACAAGTCTCTGCTATGTAAAGAGGAGCCCCATGCATTGCCTGTCAAACACAACTGATTAGCATGCTTGTCAAATTTCAGGATATTATTAGTCCTTTAGGAATTTTGGAAGGATAGAGGTTGAAAACTCAAAGAAGCTTACTAGGCCTATTCCAAGTCCATAAACAAGCCGGGCAAGTAAGAGAACAGCCAGACCAGGGGCATAGGCTGTTGAAGCACTGCCAATTGCATACAAAATGGCTGCCATGACGAGCTCCCTCCTCCTTCCTTCAGAAATTAAAGTAATATAGACAGTTAATATGGTAGTTCTAGCATAATAGCCACATAACAAGGCAAGAGCCATACCAAGAAAATCTGCCAGAGGATAAACGAGGAGGGAACCAAGAAGAGCTCCGTAAAGGGAACCACTAACCTAAAATCAAAAGAAATGAAGAACAAGCATTTACCCTCCATGAAATAAGAGTTAGATAATATGAAGCAGAATTGTCATGATTGCAAAGTCTACCACAAGGCCTAGTTGAACAGCCGAAAGGTTGAACCACGTCGTACCGCTAAGCTCAGGTGACTGCAAAATGATAGTGGAAAAGTAAAAAGAGTCTTCCAAAGTACAATCGCCATGACAGTTAGTAGTGTTTGGAACAAAAGAGGGACAGGAAAATGTTTGTGAACAGCAGTAAGTTACCAGCAAGGAGATTGTCGCACCAGACGTTGCGCCAATGTCATAGCCAAATAATAAACCACCGAAAGCTGGGAACAGAAACCTGGTATATGATTTCAAAAGGTGACTGGGATTAATGCGGTTCAAATTGGCAAGAAAAATCAAGTTTCAGCATTTTTACAATATTTATGACGTGAATTTGGGGGGAACAAAGGATATGTTTGTCCAATACACCCAATTATCGTTAATTTGCTGAACCAGTTACCAAAATTTTATCAGTGTGTGTAGAACTCCAGCTGCATGAAATAAGTCCTACCAACTCCAGCTTTATACAAATCCCACAAACATACACCTCTAGACACTTATGCCCTCCTAAAACATGGATTACATTATCCAGTACATCAGATAACTATATTGAAAACCGAACTTAATACTGCAATGAATCAGACCCTCTCAGAATCGAGAATAGCTGGGTTCATATAAAAAGTTGCGGGTTGAAAGACACGAAAGCATTCGATTGGTCAGAGGGTGGACCATGTAAACGGGTTCAGTCAATCAATTAGCAATCCCTCGTCAGAATTGCAGCCAAATAATCGGACAAACATGAATCAGGAGGAATGCATTTTATCCACGAGCAATGCGTACGTAATTGAGAACTGCCAATTAACTAGTCACAAATACGAAAATTTCAACAGTTAAAATCTTCCAGAAGTAGAAAATCTGCAAACAATTGACTTACGGTAAAATAACTGAAGACCAGGAAAATTCCTCTTGATAGTTTGCTTCAGCGTCAAGAGACTCGCCTCCATCCTCTGAAGCGGCTCGAACCTTCCGATCACGTCAGTCAAAACCAAAGCAACAACCTTGATCAGTATTCATTACAATTCGCAAAGCCCCAGAAGTCTAAACAAGTACGACTTTAGAATTGTACCACACCAGTTCTGAACTGTGATCACGGTTCAACAATTTTATTGTAGTTCGATGGTGGTTTACCTTTGGTCTGCTTCTGCTGCCAGAGAACAACAAAAAGATGCTCCTTAACGTGGTACCAGAACTAAAATACGGACCACCAGTACCAGCCAAAAATGGACTGCATTTGGAAGGTGGGCTTTGGCTGCTCCATCGCCTGAAGAGAAGTTTGTGTGACCCTTTGGATGGATTGAGGGATGGTGGCCGAGGTTGCAAGTGTGAAAGGTTAAGGTTCAGCTGTGGGTGAAAAGAGGTAAAAGACATGATTGTTATAACCTATGATTCAGTGGTGATTGATGGGATTTTAGAATGTGTTAAGAGTTGCAGATTTTAAAGCCTTGTCATGTGCAGACAATTTTACCATTTACATGTGCAAGAAGTGGAAGAGGAAACCCCCATAAAATCGGAGGGCAGAAGGCAGGCAATAATACGCTCTAGTTGATCATTTTTGGTACTCTGTGGTCTGCGTTTTTGGATAGACACGTTGCGTTTTGACATTTGTGCCTAAGCCCAAGCAAGTTGATCGGCGTCACTCTACTATATATATTTTTACTTCTTTTTTTTTTTTTTTTTTGGTTTGGGACGGACGCTAATAGTGGCATACATTTGTTAATAATGAGTCACATGGATTAAATATTTTTCAATTTTCTTTAATTATAATGACTAGTGTCTATCATTATCATTATCGTGCATCGAGAAAATACACCGCGGTAAGCTGTGGCAGTAATTAACTAATTATACAAACAAACCAGTAAGGCTTGTTTCATTCAACCGACTCGAGTGAATGCTCGACCGGAAACCTGCTGCTAATGTGCGTCCTGCAACTTCCTCCATTACCGAGCAACTCTGAGCTCTAACTAATACGGTAGATTTTTTAGGACGTCTATTCGTTCGTCTTTACTTCTGCTTTAATCTTAACCGACTGGAATTTCGCTTCTCTTGTTGCCTTTGTTCCAGCTGTACTTCTCATTTTCTTTCTTCATATTTAGCATTTCGTGAATCTGCTTTTGTTGATTGTGCTGTGATTTGGCGACGCATGGTGGGGAAGCTGCTCTCCCAAAAGGATTCCGTCGAATATTCTTGCGTGTCGGAGTGATTGTGTTGTTAATTTGGTAGGATCGCTACAAATCATAGTCATCTAATGGGGTCCGACAAAGAGCTGTTTGAAATCGAAGTCTAGTATTGGGCGTAATCTAATTAGAGAGAAGAAACGTTTTCTCC